ACCCTTTCTGGGATTTTGTTCCCTGTGGTTTAGAGGCTGCATTTCAGCAAGGATGCGAGGTGATTGAAGAGGAGGGCGTTAATTGTCACTGCCACCTGCTCTGGGACACCTCGCATTTCTTGTGGTTGTGTTTACAGCCCTGGCCCTCTCAAGGTTGCTTTAGCAGCACCATTCCCTGCTGGGGGAGTGCGGAATTGGGCTGATAAGGTTTCTTACTGCAGCAGAATCTTGCCGGGGCAGCCTGTGAGATGGACAGGTTAGGAAAGCTTGGGAGTCCACAAACACTTGTCAAGCCAGGGAGGCCATGGGGGAAGCAGCTGGCAGAGACAAGGACTTAGAGGCTGTCTTCCAAAAGAATGGTCTAAGCAGTGTTTGTTTCTTGCTGCCTCAGGTTTCAGATACAGAAAACATCCTGGGCATTGTTCATGCTGAAACCATCAAAGTCTCTGTGGAGGTCTACGATGTTAATCTGAACATCAACATGCCTGAAGGTCAGTGGATGCCTCCCAGACAACACAGTCCGGGTGCATTTTACTACCTTAGCAGGTGGGCAACCAAAGCCCTTGGGAGGGGATGGCACAGCAGGCAAGGGTGGCACAGATCCATAAAGCACATACCTTGCAAGCTGCGTGAAGTAAAGACTGTCAGGGCACCAACAGCCTTGAGTCTCTCCCTTCTGAACTTGGAAATGTGCAGCTTCCTGTGCAGATTGCATTGGGTGCTTTGAAACAACAGTCATCTGAACAGGCAGTTGGCAATTCCCAAAGGCTCAGCACAGCACATAAAGCAGTTGGATTTGTACTTGGAAGCAAGGAAATGGAAACCAAGCTCCTTGGCTTCTACCCTGCAGATACTTGGGAGTAAGAAGGGAAAGGGCAGCCAAGTAGCTAGAGAACACTTCCGAGAAGGGACACTTGCTGAAGAGGGTTTTGTGCCATCCAAGAACTCCAACTGTGTAGCTTGTGACTGGGTGTGCTCTGCAGCAGCTCACAAAATATTCACCATTTCCTACCTCGCTCTGCGGGTTTTCTACAGGTCCAGATGGCAGCGTGGAATTTGGAACCATTAATGTCTTTGATAATAAGAAGGAAGTCCTGAGTTTGAAGAACAAAGGCTTATACGACATTGAGTACAGGTGAGTCCAGCTGCCTGGTGCTGAGCTCTTCCTCAGGCTCCCAGGCCTGCATTCTCCCTCTGTCCATGGCTAGAACCTGTTCCTGTGCTGCTCCCTTTTCTTTTTTTTCTGGTCCACAGCAAAGTCCTGGCTGTGCTGGTGGCACCTGTACTTTCAACTGCAAAGGTCTTCATTCTCTCCCTTTTTCCAGTTTCAAGCTGACAACTGGAGGTGCCAAGAAGGGCAACTTGGATTCTCAATTCACTGTCCAGCCACAGAGGGGTGTGCTGAAGGCCTCCAAGCCACCTGTGAAAGTCGAAATCCTCTTCCACCCCAAGACTGAAATGTGTCTCAAGAGCAAACCCATCCTGCTCTGCCAGGTGAGCTGCCTGGGCCTGGCTGTGTTAGCACAGGGTGTCTTGGGAGCATAAGCAGGAGAGGTGTCTTTGGCAAAGAAGGTTTTAGCTGGGGCATCCTCTCTCCTACATACACAAACAACAACTTCCAAAACCATTTGGGAGGCTTTGTAAGAGAGCTGGAAATCTGGCTCTGGAAGAGGCCTTTAAATAAGGAGGGCGAGCTGATGGAGACCTGGGGTGGGGTCAGGGGACAGGGTTAGAGACTGGCCTCTCTGCTGTGTTTACCAGCCCCTCCTCTGGTTGCAGGTCTTTGATCCCCAAGTGGGTAAAGGAGGTGAGACCGTTGCCACCATCCCAGTGAGGGTGTCGGCGAAGGCTGTGTACAGCAAGTACAGCATCGAGCCTGCCTCGCCCATCGACTTCGGTGTCATGCTTAAGGGCACCAAGAAGACCCAGGTCTTAATTGTGGAGAACAAAGGCGCCCTCAACTTCAAATTCGTCATCCACCGAGCACCTCCAGTGCAAAGGTAGGAGAAGACCTGCACCTACCTTTCTGTCTGAGGAGGCACCACCACACAGTTGGTGTGTGACAGGCAGCCAGACCTGGGTTATTGTCCATTTGGGTCACTGGCTTGGGAAGAGGGAGCAAAAAAAACACCTCAGTATCCCCATGTGTGGGACAAAGCTGGTGACAGAGCTGCTCTGTCCATAAGCTGCAGCAATGGGTGCTGCAGGCAGCTCCCTGGGGGCCATCAGGAGCAGGAAGGCTTTCCTCCATGGGGAGGAAGACCAGCTTTGGCCTCAGACAAAGGCAGGGGAGCTCAACATGACACATGTCTCTGCTTTCTCCTCTCAGTTCACAGCAAGAGGAATCTGCCCCCTCGGTCAGGGAAAAACCGCGCTCGACACAGGTGGGTGGCTCCTGCTCCTCCCCAGCGTGTGCTGCTGCAGGGGATGGGGGAGGATGCAGCTGTGCCCAGGCTGGGGGTAGGACATGATCTGCAGGATGGAGAGTCCATGATCTGCTCAGTTCCACTGACAGTCCCATGCTCTGGCTCTGACCTGCAGTTGTGGGGTCAAGAGAGGGGAGCAGGTCCTGTGTTTGGTGGCTGCTAGCCAGCACAAATCTGTGAACACCACAGGAGCAAACTATCCCCATCTGAACTCCCAATCCATAGAACATTGACAGCTTTGCTTTTTCTTCTTCCCAATCCTCTCCCTCTCTCCCATCATTTCTCTCAGTCATTTCTGCTCTCCTGTACCTCTGGAGGTTGAAGGATCCCAGTTACCACCTTCATTCTTTTCACCAACTCCTTTCTCTCTGCCACTGGGGACAGACGTGCAGCTCCTCCTGGCTTGTTCATCTCATCCTGGGGCTGCCTTTGGGCCATGGAGTCATCCTTCCCTGCCCTGCCACTGGGTGCTTGGGCCCAGCTGGAGGCCAAGGCGTGGCATACTCCTTGCTGGGGGTGTTCAGGGTACGGCTGTTTGGCATCAGCCTGACCTGGTGCTCTTTCTGCAGGCTCAGCTCACTGTAGGCATGTTCACCGTGTCCCCTTGCTCCGGCTCCGTCGGTCCTTGGAGCAAGCAAAACATCACGGTGGATTGCAACGCAGGAGCAGAGGGGAAATGTGAGGAGCAGCTGTACATCGACATCAGCAGCAGAGACCCCAAGGACAATCCCCTCGGCATTCCCTTTACCCTGACTGCCGAGTCCTGCTTCCCAGGTGCGTACTGTCTACAAGTTGCCATGGGCAGTCCTGCTGCTGATCAGCACCTAAACTTGCTACTTGGATAGAGAGGCACCCTGGTCCTGAAGTCCCACCTTAAGATCCTCAGAGGTTGCAGTCGTTTTCAAGTCCACCAGTGGGGAGAGGCTGGGAGGGATGCGTGGAAGAACAAAAGGAAAGAAATGCCCTTTAAGACTGAGGTTGACTGAGCTCCATCCTCACTGACTGAGCTCTCTCATCTAAGGCTGGGTTTTGCAGTCACCTGGGCAGAAAGGGCTTATCAAGCCTTCTGAGAGGCCAACTGGGTCCAGGTAAATTCAACAGAGGCTTCTCCAGCCTCAGCCCTCCCTCTGGTCTGTCTACAGCGCTTGTTGAAGACGTCACATCAATCTTTGAGCAGTACCCGATCCACAGCAACGTCGATCTCCACCAGACGTTACAGTCAGTGCAAGGCAATGGTGTGTTCATCAGGGATGATAACAAATTCATCTTCACCAAAGTTCCGGTTGGGCAACAGGCCACAGCTCACTTCAAGATCTCTAATGGCACCAGTCTCCCTTGCGACGTTGTGCTCTCCATCAAAGCCACGCCTGAAGAGGTAAGAACAAGAGGCCAAGGTGAGCGCTGCTCTCTAAAGCCCATGTCAGAGCCTGCTTTGTTCTCCAGAGTCATTGCGTTCCCTGGCCCAGCTGGACTAGTCCAGCTCAGTGCAGGTCGAACTGCAGGGCAGAGCAGCAATGCCAGGGGTGCACTTGCATTGAATTCCACATCTCTCAAGCAAATTTTGGCTCACGCTTCTGGGTCTTTGGTGGGAATCCTTCTGAACATCTCTCGAAAGCACACTCAGAGAGGGGCTGTTACAGACTGATGGGCCAGAGCTCAAAGCAGAGCATTTCCTGGCTTTTCCTTCTCTTGAAAGGCCAGTCCTGGGTTATTTGCAGGGTTTTCCATGCCACCCCAACCTCCCACATGTGCTGGGGTGGCTGCCCAGCCCTCAAAGCAAGCTTTTGCACGCCTGGGCATTAGCGCAAGGTCAGCATCCTCTGGGATGGAGGGAGCCTGCCCAGGGAAGCATGAAACAAGAGACGCTGTCTGGGGCTGTTCCCAGGGATGCATCTATGAATGTACTGGGTCACATTGAAAGATGTTTCCTCCTAACACTGCACTGTGGGTTCCCCCCAAGCCTGACAACCTCATCAGCAACATCTTCAAGTTGGATCCTGTCGAGATGAGCATTCCTGGTTTATCCCACGCCTTTGCTACAGTGACCTTCACTCCAGAACAAAAGGAGGAGTATCAGTGCACTTTCACAGCTTCCCTTGTTATCCCAAAAAGGTAAGTGACCCTGTGAAGTATTGGGGGACCGTTCTGGTAGCTGCCTCTCCTCTTGGTACCTCTAATGCTTTCAGTACCCTTAGGCAGAGTACTTGGCATGACATGATCTGGGAGGCAGTAACTGTTAGACAGAGCAGAGCAGAAAAATGAGGAGGATACTTCAGCCTGTGTGAGGGACTCTCTTCTGAAGAGAAGGCCTTAGGTAGCCAGCTGGAAGTTACTGAGAAGTGCAACAGCTAAGCTGGGACTTTCCAAGGACAAAGGCTTAGATGAAGCAGTTTCTGTGCCAGCAAGACAAGATTTCCTCCTTATTTCTGTAAAAAGAAGTGATCCTGTGTGGTTCCCTGGCATGCATTAAGCTCTTTTTATATCAGGGGAGTGACTGGAGCTCTTATCAAAGAGAAGCCCAGTTCCTCTCCCTGGGACCTGTGTACTGGGGCTCTGACCTGCCCTTCCCCAAGCCTTTAGTGGCTGAATTGGAACAGGGCAGTCAGCTTTCTGCCCTAACAAGCAATTCCTTTTGTAGTATCCCTGGAACTAATCTTTACTGATGGTGGTGTTGATTTGGTTTTCCCTTCTTGCTTTTGTACTGTTTTCATGGTGTGCTTTTGCTTGTTGCATATGTCTCATATCACTGCAGCCAGAGAATTTGCCACGTCTCATCTGGTACCTCATGATTTATCTGCTGTACAGCATGATTCAAATGAGGGAAATTATTTAGAACTGTTATTCTGGAAGGCTCTGGCTGAAATGGTTTCTGTGCCTCTCCAGCAGCTCTGTGAATACAAAACCCCAAGAGCTGACCTTCACCATCAGTGGAGAGGGGCACGTGCCTCAGTTGACAGTCGAGTGCCCGGGCCTTCGGAGTAAGAGGGGAAACCCTGTGCTGCGCTTCAGGAGGCTCCTGCTGGGGGACTCACAGAAACTCCCCCTGGTCCTTCGTAACAACGGTGTCATACCCGTCCAGGTAAGGACCTGCTCAGGGAATGCTCTGGCCTGGGAACAAGTGCTTGTCCCGTGGAGCAAAGGTCCCAAAAAATGTGATTTTCTGTCCAGTCTTTTCTCTTCAGTTGAACACAACACAAGAAAGGTGGTGGGGTGTTTTTCCCCCTGTCTCCCAGCTCACATTTTGTTCTCATGTGGGCGTGTGTGATGTCCCAGTTCCATGAGATTGCATTTGATAGTGGTTGACTCCATTTTAATTCAACTTAGTTGTGGTTTCGTTACATTCTGCTCGTGACTGACTGTCCTGTTTGGCTCTATGTCAGTTCTATCCATATGCTTCTGAACACCCTTTTTCCCCTGTGGGACTTCACTTAACCTTTGTGCTGGGTGCTGTGTTTGAGGCAGGGAGGTGGTCTGGGTTCCCCGTGCTGGACCAGCGGCCGTACAGGCTCAACCCATGTGCCATCCTCTACTCACACCAATGTCATTGTGCTCCGTGTTCCCTTTTCTCAGTTTGCAGTTCGATTCGTGGATTACCAGGGAATTTTCTTCATCAAAGGCAGGATGTCTGCAATCCGTGCCGTCCGCATTCCAGACATGGAAGAGGACTCCACTGGAAAAGGTAAATTCATGAACCATGCAGCGTGATCATTCACAGAGGGAAAAGGTGTGCCCTGCTCTTGGCTTGTCTAAGCAGCAACGACATGTTAGACATAGTTTCTTTCCTTGGTCTCTCTGTCCTCCGAGCTTTTCTTGCGGACTCCTTGCAGGGTTTCCTCCTAGCAAGTTGTAGGAAGTTTTTCTGTTCTTCTAGACACGGTGGGTTGAGTTGTGGGGACTATCACCACCTCAGTGGACTGGCTGAGGTCTTTGCCGCGTGTGGGAAGGTACCAGCCTGAAGGGAGGCAGCCCTTGAGCACACAAGCCAGCCAGCAGAAGCCAAAACCACTCCTTGGCTCAGCCTTCCATATGGCAGGAGCTGGCTGGAAGCAGATGGAATGAGGGCTGGGCATTAACCTGAGGTTAAGCCGCTTAAGTGGTGATACGTGTGATGGTGGCATAGTCTTATGAACACAGGAAGAGGGTCTGGAACTACTGGTGGGAGAACCTGTGCTTAGAAGCAACTGATTCCAACCTCTTTTTCCTCGTATACCCCAGGGAAATATTTCCTCTGTCCAGCTGTATCACTTAACTCTGATTCCCATTGCTGTGCAGCCAAGAAGCCTTACCTGCTCCTGGAACCCGGGCAAGCAGCAGAGTTTGACCTGTTTTTCAAACCAACCCTGGCCCAACGTCTGGAAAGGAAGATCCATGTGGAACTGTCAGGCAACAGTGACTTCGACATAGAGGTGGTGGGTGAAGGCTACGATGATGACTTCACCCTTGATAACCTCCCTGGACTAGCAGAGGACAGCCAGGAGAGCAATGCTGAGGGCATTCTGGAGGACGACATCATTGAGGGTAAGAGAGGAGAGGGTGCCAAGGTAGAGAGAAGAAGAAGAAAATGTCTGATCATGCACGTCCTCTCTCTAGCCAGGGCTGGGCTGTCACCCACTGGACTTGGGGGCCTATGAGCTTGCCAGCTGTGCACACAGAGCAATGTGTGCTGTGCTGCTTGTCACTGGGCACAGGCACAGCCACGGGCTTGGGGACCTCCCAGAGGGAGGGAGGGAGGCTTGGAGCAAGGAAGAGCTGAACATACACGTGTCTCTTAAAGTGAGGGGGGCGGATGGACCTCACTGCATGCTGAGATCTCTTGCTCTCCTTCTTCACAGCTGTCAGAGTGAATCACGTTGAGTTTGGGGACTGTGCAGTCAAGGAGCTCTGCGACAAGACCTTCACAGTCACCAACCGCAGCAAGGAGGAGGCGATGCGGTTTGAGTGGCCGGCAGACGCCTCGTTCCAGTTCTCCCCCAAGGTGAGCTGGGACAGCCCTGCCTTCCCCGGTTGCTCAAGCCCTTTCCTGGTGTTCCTGGGAGCTGGCAGGGAGTCACCACATACCAGTGAGAGCCCCTTCCAGTGCCATGCAGGAGATGCAATCCCTGTCTTTGCTGGGGCAGGGCTGTCAGCCCAGCAGAAAAGGCTCCGCATTATGGGAGGTGGCACCTTCTGTTCATACTTTGCTCTGTCAAATCTCACATAAATCCTCACTGAGGTGCAGATTCCCGGCACAGCTGCTCGCCATATCAGTCCCTTTTGCTGTCAGTGCTGCTCTTGCCAGTGATTCCAGTTTGGTCTTGACTCTCTGGTTCTCCCTAGGTGGGACACCTCCGGCCTGGCTGTGCCAAGGATATCAGAGTGACCTTTAAATCCAACGTCCCAGTCACCTTCAAAAGGCACTCTGTGAACTGTAAGGTGGTCAAGATCAAATACCAGCTGCCACCAGAGAAGGTTTGCGACTGGGACGACAGACTGCGCACTGAGGAGTGGGAGGATACCACCGAGAGACTGCCAGGAGCCCGCTGGCCTTTGAAGAGGAGGGTAAGAAGCACAGCAGCAAAAGCTCACCGAGCTGCTGCAAAAGGACCTGCCGACAGCAGCAGAGCACCAGCGCTGCTGGCAGAGCAGCTCCTGCCTCCCCTGGGCATTGGCTCCAGCCGGGAGGTTCACCAGCAGCGCCTTTTAGGGGAGAGACAGATGCGCAGTGAGGGGGTGTGCTCACACCACAGGGGGAAGCCTTTGGGCAAGAGACCTTTATCCACACACAAACTGCTGGTCTGTGCCACGAGCCAAGTGTTGCAGCCCATGTTGAATGGGAGGTCACGTTTGATTTTATCCCATTTTACAGTGTTAAAATCTCTTCATCTGATTTGGTGCCTTGTCACCCACAAGGAGTTAATTCCACTGCATTCTGTCTCTTGTTCTGAAAGGGAGAGGAGCAGCACAAGTGCTCCTCTGTGTACACCGGTGAGCTCCGAGCTCTGCCTACACCGATACCAGAGATTTTGGTTGTGGCCCCTGTCTTGTAGGGGATATCTCATTATGGAGCAGCCCAGGCACTGTGTGACAGTATGCAGGAGTCTGGAGAAGCATCATCTCCAGAAAGTCTTGCTTTTTCTATCATTATTGCCAAACACACTTGTCTTGGTGAAGGTTCTTTCTGAGAACTTTGTAGGTCCTGTAAACCCAACTTCCCCATCAGAGCATCAGCAGTTGGAGACTTTCCCAGTGAGATCATTCACATCCCAAAATGCCCACAGCCAGCTCCCACCCCACATGTGACATCTGGAGAGCACTTTCTCCTAAGACAAGAAGGAAGAAGTTCTTTCTAGGACTAGTCAGTCTTGGGCTTCTCCATCCACAGGGCTCCAGCAGGGGAACATAATTCTAACGTTGAGACCTGCTGGATTTATAGGGGACCAGGGAAAAGGTCAGAGGCTCTACAGGGTTGAAGCACAGGAACTGAGAGCTGGCCATAATCCCCATGGGTGTATTAATAGCTGTGGTGGTGACTGCTTTGAACAGGGGGTAGAAACCAATACTGTAGTACTACAGTCCAATTGTGTCATCTCTCCAGGGAAATAAACCTGAAGGTCCTTTCTATGCGGCTGAGTTTGGAGGCCAAAGGATTTCTCAGCTCAGCCTGGCTTTCTGGGCTCTGCTCAGTGATTCTTCCCTCCTCTGCCTGCAGGTGGTCAAGACAGTCCCGGAACCACCTCACACCGTCCTGGAGGAGAGCAGCCGCGAGGTCGAGCTTTTCCTCAGTGCTCAAGTTGACTACGCCGAGTTCAAACTGGACACGGTCAAAGTTCAACTGAAGAAGACTGAGCTCTTCCAGACAGACATAAGCACGTGAGTGCTGGGCACCATGTTGGCCCTTTCCTCCTAAACTTCCAGACTTTGAAATACTTTGTTTGGGCCCCTCAGGGCAGCAATTCTGAACGTGGCAGAGTTGTCTGGGGAAGAAGACGTTCCTCAGCAGAAGGTGCTACCAGGAGCCCCCCACACAGTGTTACTTTAGTACATGCTTTTTATTCCTCCTCCTTGTTTTTCAGTTTCCAGATGTCCAATACAGGCAATGTAGCCCTGAAATACTCCTGGGAGGTGAATCTGGAGGAGGAAAGACCAAGGAAGTGTTCTGGGAAGCCGTTCTCGACCACTCTGATGCGTAAGTCATTGGCTCTGGGTGGTGCCTGGGACATTTCAGTTGGGAGCTGAGGGCCTGGAAAGAAGACCCTGCCACTTCACCCCAAAACATTAATTGCTTTTTCATCCCAGTCCACTTCCCAGCTGCAGCTGGAGAGTTTTCTCCTTACCCCCTCTCTGCCTTTTAGCCCCTCCTCTTCTCGCTCTGCCACTTGTGCTCTGCACAGGAGCTGAGCCGGGCTCCGGGGAGAGCCACGTGCTGGGTCAGGACTGGGAAGGGGGACATCAGGGCACCTCTTTGGGAAGTCTCTGAGACTGGGAAAAACAGTGGAAGAAGTGAGCTGCCCTGCAGCCGCTGTCTGTATGCAGTTCCCCACTCCAGGGCAAATGCAAAGTCACTGTCTAAAACCAAGCCTCCTGCCCCAGCACAGGAGTGTGTGCTGCAGGCAGAGACCCTGCTCCCAGCTGCTCTATCTCCTGCTGAAAGTACTTGGCCAGAGGTGCTCCAAGTGCATCCCAGCTCTCTTCTATCCACCTGCAGCAGGAGGCAGAGTTGTTGGGAACAAAGGATTTTATCTTTGAAAGATGTCCTTTTCCCTCCTGCAGGTTATTTCTTGTCCTCTGAAACTGTGGATTACTGGTTCAAGCAGCAGCGTGCAAGGCGGGTGTCCTGGGCAACGTCGCTCGAGTTCAGTCGGCCCCAGTCAACCGTGCCAAGTCGGCGCTGTTCAAAGCAGCTGAGCCACTATTTCAAGCGCAGGAGTTCCTCCCTGGAATTGTATCCAGATGACATCGATGACCCACCGCTGTTCTCCATCGAGCCCGACTGCGGTACCATCCCTGCTGGCCAGAGTCAGATTTTCCACGTGAAATTCTGCCCGATGCGTGTGGGGGAATTTAAGGCCGAAATACTGTGCAGGTAGGAAATTTAAGGCTGAAATGCTGTGCAGGTAGCTCTGTGGAGATGTGTATGGATCTGTGTGGAGACAATGGGAAATGACACTGTATGAAACACTAAGCTCCTGGAGGGCTGCAAAATCTGGAATGGGAGATCCAGAACGGCTGCCAAGGGGCCAGCCAGTCCCCAGCTGTGCTTCCTTATGGGACAAGCACAGCCTCCTTCTCTACCTGGAGCCCCATGTGCTGCAGTTGGTCCCCAGGCCCATAACTGGTTGTGTTTCTGCCCTTCCACCTCTGCTGCCTCCGTGGCAGGGAGTGCAGTTCTGTTTCATTTGCTGCTCGGTGCTTGCATGGAGAGAGAATGTGACACTGTGTGCTCTGTGAGGAGACAGGCAAGCGGCTGGCTGGCTGGAAATGTTCATCTGGCTAATACCAGTCCCTTTCTTCCCAGTATTCCTAACCTGAAGCCATCTCAGAAGAGCCCACGGGTGTTTGTGATGGGGGAAGGCTGTTCGCCAACGGCTGATCCGAAATACCTTATGTTACTGCGAAAAAGTGAAACCCAGAGCAGCAAACCCAAGAAGAAGGTGCAGCGGCCATCAAAACGAGAGTGACACCATTTGTGTCATGGCTTCTCCTGCTCATGGTTTCCCAGCCTTCATCAGAGACCTCCCCAGCTACTCTTCAAGCCCCAACACCCATCTCTACCTCATCTGTGTACTACCTAATAAACTGTGTCTCAACCCACGAGTTTTCGCACTGTTACTCTTCCAGTTCTCTCCCACATCCACAGGAGGGCAGTGAGCAGATGTCTGTGTGGTGCTTGGTTGGGAGCTGGGGCTCGGCCATCTCCAGGAAAGCAGGTGTGATCAGACATCACCCCCATTCCTCCGCAAGCTGCTCTGCTCTCTTAGGAATTCCCATTCCTTGGCCTTTGTGTAGTGGGTGGGGTGGTGAAGTGTCCCTTGATCACACCATGAACTCTGCATGGCTAATGTGGAGCAGCACTGACTGTACCGGGAACTCCATTTGCTTGGCTAAAGCCTGGGGTGAAGCACAAGAGTAGCAATGATCAGTTATCCCCTGACAGCCTTGGAGCAGTTGCTACCTGAACCCGAGCCCGAGGGGAGCGCTACCATTGCCTCAGTAATTATTACAATCCAGCTTTCCTTAGGACTGGAAGGTTCAGCCTTCACTGTCCATTGCTCCGTTTCCAAGGTGTTTCCCAACATCAGCCACTGTCCCAGAGCTGAGCTGGCTAAGACAGCCCGTGTCAGTGACAGGCAGAAGAGAAGGTTGTGTGGAGACCTCCTAGCACCTTCCAGTACCTGGAGGGGCCTGCAGGGAAGCCAGAGAGGGACTCTTTGTCAGGAACTGTAGTGACAGGCCAAGGAGTAATGGGTACCAATTGAAAGAGGGGACGTGTAGCTTAGATATTAAGAAGAAATTCTTTACTGTGAGGGTGGTGAGACACTGGCACAGGTTGCCCAAGGAGGTTGTGGATGCTCCAGCCCTGCAACTCTCAAAAAGCCAGGCTGGAGGGGGCTCTGAGCAACCAGGTCTAGTGGCAGGTGTCCCTGCCATGGCAGGGAGGTGGCACAAGATGATCTTTGAGGTCCCTTCCAACCCCTTAACACCCTGTGAGTCGGTGATTCTCTAAGTGTTTGGGCAGAAATGCAGCCCTTTGCCCGTCCCTCTCCCGCCGGGAGCTGCTCCAATCCCGCCGTTCAGCCGGGTCTGAACTGGGTCCATGGAGCCAAACGGCGTCAGCGCCGCATTTCTGGGGCAACGGGGCCCCGCGCTGGGCAAGGAGGGAACGGCCCCGCGGTTCCGGCACAGGGACACGGCCGGGAGCGGGGAAAGGGAAGGGACCCGAGTTGTGCCGATGGGCGGCTCCGGGGCGGGGCGGCGGGACGGGCACAGCCGCGGCCGGCAGGGCCGGGGATGGCGGCGGAGCGGGACGAGGAGCGGGACGGGCACGGAGCGCTCGGCCCGGGCACGGCCGGGGGGTCCCGGCGCTCCGCCCCGTTCGCCCCTGGGCAGGGGGTCAAGGAGAACGCCCGGAGCCGCTTGAGGGAGTTCGATGTGCGGGACAAGTTCTCCCGCCTGCCGCTGCCCAAAGCCGCCGTGCTGCTGCCGCTGATGGTGCGGGGGGGGCGGCTGCACCTGCTGCTCACAGTGCGCTCCATGCAGGTACCGCCGGGGGGCTCCGAGGGGCGCGATCCTGCCCGGGGAACCCTCGCTGTGCGCTCCCCAGGGGGCTGCACAGCCCCATCCCGACCCTCCCGCTCCGCAGGGGGCTGCACAGCCCTATCCCGACCCTCCCGCTCCCCAGGGGGCTGCACAGCCCCATCCCGACCCTCCCGCTCCCCCGGGGGCTGCACAGCCCCCTCTTGACTCATGTGCCCAAGGGCATGACCATCTGTTTTTACACTCCCGTGATTCTGGTGTTTTCGTGCCAGAAACATGTCGGATCCCCGGAAACCCGTGACAGGAAAAGATTCCCAGAGCAGGAAAGGAAATGATTGTTTACGGTGACTTCAAGAAGAAAAGTGACAGTGCAGTGCAGCTTTTATTAATGAGACTTTTCAGTCTGCAGTAAATACTTCGGGTTTTGCTTAAAAAGATCCAAATAATTACAGTTATGTAGCTGATAAGTTCATTGTAAATGTGATTTTTTTTACTGATCTTTGATGCACAAGCCTATTGCTGGAATGTACTTAAAAGTACATTATTTAATTATGTCTTTCGGAAGTTCTTGCTCTTACTTGGAGTATTTTAATCTTGCTATTCAAGTTGTCTGTCTGGACTCATCTGTCAGTTTCTTATGCAAACAAGATGATGCAAAATGTGAACTTTGACATACTAAAGCAGAAGTTACGGTATGAATTACACAAGCTATATGGATACAGTGTATTTCTGAGAGTGAGGGTTTATGGATTAGTTGGGGATAGGCTCAGCTTTTTCTTGTGTAGCTCTTGCTAAGGCATGTTTCTTCTGGTCTGCAGAAACCTTAACCACCATTCCCAGCAGCTTTGACTGAAAAGATAAACATAAAGTGATGCTGCAATACCAGCAAGTATCTGTGTGCATCCAAGAAGAAATATAAAACTTGTTATATTTAACAGTAATGCTCCTTTACATTCTAGCTGAGAAGATCACCGGGGCAAGTGTGTTTTCCAGGAGGTAAAAGTGAAGCCAGTGATAAAGATGAAATTGATACTGCTCTCCGAGAAGCTAAAGAAGAAGTGGGACTCCAGCCAGAGAAGGTAGAAGTGATCTGTAGGCTGGTGCCTGGAATTGATAAGGTAAATCAATGTAAAATTAGAAAATAGGTTGGGTTGTTATATTTTGTGAGGTTGACAGTGACCCTTTCAAACCACAAGGGAAGAGGTTCTTTTTCTGTGTTTGGTATTTGTCAGATCAGCCTTGAGGCACCAGTTAGTGACACACTGGAGTACCAGAGTGACAGTGCTGCACTGGTGAGAGTTTAGCAGAGAGCCATGAAGACAGTCAGGGTGTTAGAGCACATGGATTGTGAGGAGACGATGAGAGAGGTGGGTTTGCTCAGTTTGAAAGCCAGCAAGGGATCCATCTGTTCTCTTCTCCTGGGTGGTTGTAGAGAGGATGATACCAGACTCTTCTTGAGACAATGGACACCAGCAGCAATGTGGAAGTTTGGATAAGATGCAAGGAAAATACTCTTTACTATGAGGTTAGCCCAAAACCAGAGCAGATGTTCCTGACAGGCTGTAAACAGGGCTCCCGTGTCCTGCTGAAGCCTCACAAGTTTCTCGCTCAGTGTCCTGCTGACACCAGGGCTGTGCAGGCAGAAAGGGCCCCCCAGAGGTGATGTGCACTGGGATTCCATAGGAAACTCCATCAGGGAGACTCCCGGAGTTGTCTTTGGAGTGTAGGTCTCTGTAAATTAACAGGCTGCCAATTTCAATAACAATCTTCAGTGTTGCAGAAGATGGGTTTTTCCATAGCACAGAGGGGCTGCTGTTTCTAAAGACTATTTTTGTTCTCCAGGTAACAGTTTATTACTATGTTTTCTGTTTTTCTATCTGTTGGCAATAGCCTCTCCCCATTAAAAACCAGAAGAACTGGTTTTGAAATTTTATTGCGAAACGCTTTATTTAACTTCTTAAATTATAATTTTTGTGCAGATAACATTAAAGTCATGTAGCTCAGAGGCTCTGTGTAAAAATGATCAAATTTTCAGTGTTTTCCAGTAAATTGTCTCAGTCAGTAGAAAAGATCATGTTGGTTTTGGACCTCAAAACTTTTACCTGTCGGAAGCTACTTTGTGTTCTCTGTACAGAATTCCAGGTGATTCTGGCTCAGATGGAGTCTCTCCAGCCTTGCATCAAAGAGCACAAATGCTGTTTTGGTGTTATTCCTTTCTACTGAACAATGATCTTTGTTAGTGTGAATAAATAAAGCTAGCAACATATCTTAACAAATTTTGGTGTGCTCTTGATGCAAACTACTATTTCAGTAGATTTTGACTCCCTATGGGAGAAGGGATTACATTTAAAATTAGAATGTCCATAAATAGGTGGTTTCAAAAAGCATATGTGTTCTATAGCTAGATATGCTTTAATCATATTTCTGTATCTATAGGAACATATTTCTATATTCCAGGAAAATTCCTAAATCCTAGGGAAATAGATACAGAAATATGATAAAGCATGGGTGATTTGGAAAATTTAGATTAAAATCAGAATTTGACAAAGTAAATAAGGAAGACCCATGAGAAAGCATGCATGCTTTTTATTTCTGTAGCAGAGTGACAAGCCTTTTTAACTGCAATATGATTATACAGTATGAACTGAATATTTGTAAAATCATGTTTAACAAATACAAAAGGATAATTTTAAATTGTTAAAACCAAATTATATAGCTTGCCATTAGAGGGACTGAATAGCATTACAGTTAAGAATAGTTCATAGGCTTCTTGTACTCATTTTGCAACAGCTGAAATGCTTTTAAAATAAAGAACATTTGTACTTGAGACAAACCCAATGTTTGAGGGTTTTGTTGATAGGGTTGTCTTATTGTTTCTTTTTCTCTCCTTTTAGATGAATAATTTGGTGACACCAGTTGTAGGATTTATAGAGGATGCATTCCAGGCCACTCCTAATCCAGATGAAGTGAGCGAGGTTTTTGTTGTGCCTTTGGAGTACTTCATCAAGCCCTTAAAGTACAAGGCCTTGTCTTATAAAACCTCATCAGGTTCCTCAACTCTGATGCACTGCTTTATATATGATGACCAGGAACATAAAAAGTCATTCAAGATATGGGGACTTACCGCACACTTTGCTGTATTTCTTGCTCTTGTAATTTTTGGAGAGAGACCTACCTTTGAAGTGGATTATGACCTTGACAACTTGATTTCATCCTCTGAGAATAACTTTATTAATTTGTATGCTTCTATATTTGAAAGAAAGAAGAGTAATCTATGACAAACTGGTCTGGCAATCAGTTTATACTGAAGGAGGAAAAAGGGTTTTGTTTATTCCCATTGTACCTGTTATTTGTTTGAAAGTTACACTTGAATTTTTTTCTGAATTGGGAACTTCTTAAAGCTTATTTCTAACTAATATTTTTC